CTAGAACCGCGTGCTGAAAACAGAGCTGATTTTGACAGGGTAAAAGGGTGTTTTTTACACTACCATTGAGAAATTGTAACTTTTAAGCATGTTAGACTTTTCATTAAGGTCCTAAAGAATCATATCAACTTGTGCAAAAAGGGCATCCGATGACCCCTTTAAGCAGTTTTACATATGGGAATTAATGATGACTTTGGGGGTTATTAACACCCAAGTGAGATACGGTCTTACTGCATCTAACCCTTGAAGGGTTATTTAAATGAAGCCTGCAGCCAGTGGGATGCTTTCAGTCAGATTTACTGAATGGAAAGTGTTGTTTGCCCTTTCCTGAGTTGTGGTTTGATTTTGCAGATGGAGAGGTGCTACGAGGAGGTGGACCACGAGTATGACAGTGACATGGATGGGTCGGGCTCTGTGGGTAGTGATGACAGATCTCCTCAAGCTCATCTCAACGGCAGCTATAGGAGCACTTACACCGAGGAGGATGATCTCTCTGCAGCTGAGTGATTCACATGTACCCATATTGCCAAGAACAGTGATCACAGCATCATGTATCATACTGTAACAGCTGTCACTCCTTTTGAAGTGCTTTCTCTTGCGTCCATTGCTGTGTGATTTTTGGCTTCTGAAAACATTTTCTACTGCTGTGAATATATTACCTGTCATATGATATTCATATGGATGAAAATGTAAAGTTTTGGATAGTTCTTTATTGTAATGAGAGATGCGGTATATTGAATGAAGGTGCTTGTGTTGAGGTCACTTTTTAAATCAGTTTAGCATTTTTCTTTTGCATGTAACTTTGTGTTTACACTCTTGTGGAAAGATGTTTTATGCTATTGTGTTTCTCTTTTTGGTTTATCGTACTAAAACAAAGCCATTATTAGTGTGAATCTAAAAAAAAAGTTGTATTTTACCGCGAAATAATGTATTTTGCATTTATAATTTTTCTTTTGATGTTTAAGTACATGTTCCTTAAAACTCTCATCATTGCTATAATGTAAAAAAAATAAATAAATAAATCTGGACAGATTATTTTTTTATTTTACTTACTCACATTAAAGTGGAAAAGGAGTTTCTTAATTGTGTTGAAAATAATACCAGAATTTGATTTTGGGGTACACTAAGATTTATCCACTCTACCTGGTCTTTTCCATAATTTCTATTTACTGAAGTAAAAAAATAAAAAAATAAAATATATATACAATTAGTCCATGTGTATTATAACACTCCGAGTGAACTGTGTAGTTACACAGTGCATGTTAAAAGTGCCTAGACAGTTTGTGTGACAACAGAATATTTAACAACAATGTAAATCAAGTCAAACGACTTATCGAGTATTATACTAAAGCTTGTGTAAAATGCACAGTTGTATCCTTATTTTTTAACAGTATTTTGTTTGAACCAGTGTATATAGAGTCCTACAGTAAACTCTTCATACAAGTATTGTTGTGTGGCATATATTCAGATGTTTTAATAGGTTTTCTAAGAAGCCTTTACTGATTGAGGAGCACAGTAACGTTATTAACAGTGACTGCTGTCTCGTTCAGAATAACTACAATTTAAAGCTTTAAGCTTCCGAATATTATTTATTTTTTAATATTGTCACTTTTGTAAGTGGGTATATATACAGTACTTGTTAGCAGCAAAACTAATATGATTAAGAACTAAGTAACAAATGAATTATATTGATTTGTGTGATTTTGTGCATCTGTTTAGACATACGTGTATAAAAGATTTTCCCTAACATGAAATTGACATTAAAGAGCTGTTATACTTCCAGTTTATCAACTGCAGTATGTTTTTCTTATTGTGTAATTGTTTACATTTTCTGAAGAAAATGTGAATGGTGCTTGCGAATGTTAAACTCCTTACCATGTTTTTTGAAGTTCAAGTTGCAAGTCCCTAAATTTGTGTAATAGTCCTTACGGTTATAATATATATATATAT